GGGATTCGTCTTATAAAACTTTCAAATTCATCAACTATTCATTTCAACGACATAGCTAGTATATCTTAGAAATTAATGCACTTTTTGCAATAAACATTACGTCTCATTATTTTTGCTCAATTATTGTCAATTACACAAAGAATAATGAAAATAAATGTTAACGCGCGAATAAGATACACTAAATAAGATATAAATATTTTTAAAACGCAATTTTAACACGATAGAAAATTATACGCGGCATAAACAGTAAACACATATATTTTTGGGGAAAAAACAAGCGGGAGAATAAGTGTGCCGCTGTTTTTCATCGATCCCGATTGCGCGACTGGACAGAAACAAATAGGATCGAGACGCAGCCAAGTACATCAGTACATTTGAGCAGTTACAGAGTTAATAGTTTGTGGATTTAATCCGGCGAATCCAGTCACTATTATATAATGGCACGGTAGATCGTTCTGGAGAAATGGTTGAATCGAGTGAGAGAGTCCCGGATTAGCGGATGCATCAGTGCTTACGGAGGGCCATGATTAATCCAACCCTATGGCCCGAAAGCCGATGAGTCGGGGCGGCCTGCAGGCAGACGAAGCGAAACGCGGAGACGACGTCGTGTTTGCGAATTCAGATTGATCCGCGACTGCCAGATGCAACTCCTCTCAACGACGTGTAAATTCGCTTCCCCCGTCGTCGGAATATAAATCGTCGGTGAAAATGAGTCGGCGAAAGCACGCTGAAGAAATACAACCATCTCGAATCTGAGTGCCAATTAGACCGCCGACTTATCGGAGAATCGAATCGCGTCGAAGATACTGATATCGATTGCAGAACATTAACGTAATGAAGAGCCATTATCCGTCGTTAAAGAATAAAATGCTGAATAAGCATATTATATATCTTGTTGCATTATATTTATACTATTTTTCTATTCTGTATTATTCCAAGTGTTAATTTTGCCAGAGCTAGATATATATGTATTGTACCATGCGTCATTAAATTTGATGATAATTAACGTACTGCTGTTATTAATGAACCAAGTTACATTGTCCTACTTAGCTACGTCACGCGGCGTAATTAATTAATTGCTCTAATTATTTGAATAAAATTAACTATTGCTGCGCAATGTGAAACTATCTATTAACTTTTTCGAAGAATTTTATATGTGCTTTAATTCGCGATTAAAGCTAAATTATGGATGATGATTGAAAGGGAGGAATAGATAGCGAGGGGCAATAATCGACTATGTGGCTTCGAGTCTAGTCAGGCATTAGTTAACGAACTATAGTTATTCGACTCGAGTAACCGAATGCGCAAAACTAAACTTTGTAATTAAAATTCAAATGGAGCTGATAGCTCTCGGTGGAAACTATAATCTTGAGGAGATGTTCGATCACCCGGTCAACCTACCTATTATATTCTCAGGCTATAACCTAATCTTGCCGATTTCACGGTATATTATACAGTGTCGCTATATATTGAATATCACAATTATGCATTGCAACAATTTAAATAAATTTAATCTCTGCCCACTTCTCCCTTTTTCAGAGAAAAGAGATGTAATTGGTCCAAAAGCAACACAATGAAAGGTTTTATTTGATTAAATTTCAAACATATGGCAAATTAAATCTCAAAATATTTTTTAAAAATGGGTTTTGAATTAAGCAAATAAAGCACTTCGGTTAGCTTGCTAATATATACATGTTAATATTTTTTAATATTGATTTCACAAAGTGACGTAAAAATATTTCTACATTTGCAGCCAATAGTGAAATGCATTTGGAACATGGAATGTGTTTGATGATAGGGAGGAAGTTCAACGCACGTGCGAGTATCGCGAGTCACGTGGTAAGTGAAAGGGTTAATGTCTGCGGAGCGTATTACATATAAACCGGCGCGACGAGAGTCTGGAGAGGCGTCGTTATCTCCGTATCGTGACGATTCAAGCCTTCCGGCATAGCTGCGGCTGTTATCCGTCATCTTAATGCATAGCCGGAACAGCGAGCGACGCACCACCTGCTTATAAACGGTACGATTATTCCACCCTACTCCTACCGCTTTTACGTTCTCGTCCTCACGTAAGCAATGTCGAGACCACGGACGGGTCCGCATGGTCTCTATAAATGCATCGATTTGAATTTCATGTTGGGCGAACGGGCACACGGGATGAATAGTTTTCAATACCTTTGCTCTTGTCGATCCTTCCCGATTCCTACACCACGCATAAATCTCTTTTCGCTCGTCTAGATGCTGCTATTTTTTGCGAATTTACAATGATTCTGTAATTATCGTATCTCTGTAATTATCCCGTAAAAAAGGGCTAAAATACTAATACACAATTTATTTAAAGATAGATATTTGAAATATATAAAAAATTATTTCATAAAGCTTTTTTCTAAAGCGCGATTAGTATACTAACTAAGAACAATGACTGTAATGTTATATTGAGCTGTTTCACATTATGATCGATAATTAGAAGCCAAATAACTAGAACCTATCGCTCTCAAAATTAATTAAGCAGCCCTCAATTAATTCTCGATTGACGAAATGTAATTCAAACGGAAGCCACAGTGTGAACGACGAAATAGATATATCCAATCATTGCAATCCGGATAGCATTATGCATGCAACAATTATATCATGATACAAATTCTAATTGGGGTCAGAAAATGAGAATATATTTTTAAGTAATACAATATTTGTAAAATGTTTTATACATTACTTACGTGTGCATGTGACAAAAATATATATTTATGTAAAATGTATGATTGTGTGTGTGTGTGTGTGTGTGTACACATGTGTGCCTCTCCCCCCTCCCTATGCTATTGTCATTTTTATAAATTCTTTAATAAAGTGAACTGTGTACTATATATGTGTACGTCTAACAAATAAAATTTATTCATATGCATCTATCATTTATTTATTACACGATATTGCACTTTTTGCACTTCTAATGCAGTAAAAATATAATAATGGGAAAATAAACTCAAAAGCACCGATTGCTTTTTGCAAGAGCTTGTTAAAAGCATCTCTTCATCAAAAATTGTTCAGCAATTATGGTATAATTTATTGTGCAGTTGTAACAAGTGGTATTTAATACAAAGAAAACAGCATTTTTATTACAGTTTACAAAACTAAAGCTTCATTATTTAAAGCGTCTTTTTGTTTACGATTCAATAAAATATTCTCTTTTTTGCAACTTTCTTAGTCGCGCTTTTCTAATGCCTTGAATGTCAAACAAGTATGAGTTCAGAAAAATTCCTTGGATAAAGCTTATTTATATATTAACTTTGCACACCAACCAGGAAACGAATAAAAATGTAACTTTTCTTTTTAACGAGAGTTTATGCACGAACTCTGCATGACACTTTTCGCAAATTCGCGAAAAGTTTGTGCAGGACGTTTGCATTGAACATATGATTATTAAATCTGTGATTATTCCGCCATTATTTACTGAACAAATATATTTTTCGATATACCAATGTGTATTTATTGTACAGTGTAAAACAAAATATTTGATATTGGAATATATTTTAATACATGAATTTCGCATTAGAATTTATTCGAAATATCTCAGCGATACCGTCAAGCACTATTCATAATTATTTACTCGACTCCACTCAATATTTTAATCGAGGCTGATGAGCAACCAATCCTAAATATAAGAATTTTTTTAAACTCCTCTGTGAGACGCTATTTTTATTTCACGTGGTTTTCATCCCCTAATTAGTACTTCGCGAAAACCATTACCTACCTAATATTTTCGCTAAACCTACTCTAGCTGAATCGCGAATAAAAACTGAATGAGATCGCCCTAGCTTTTACCTGGTAAGTATTCGTTTTTATATTTCCTTGCGCAATTTTATTAATTAATTAACTAATTGCTTCGACTGTGCAGGAGGATTCTTCAGACCATTTGAAGTGTGGCAATGTGTAAAGAGAATTGCGGAGAAAGATAGAAATTCACTTAATTTTTTCGTATCGGTTCGCTAACGAGGTCAATGAATTAAATAATTCGGTCCATATCATTCAATGTTTTGAATCTCCTTTTGTGGTAGAATATTTGTATGAATAGTTTTAATTTTTTATAATATTGCACGTGTATTAATATATGATACAAAGCTAACGGCTTTATATAAAGTTAATTACGAAAATCCACTGATAGTATTACGTTATGTTATTTTTAACAATCTGATCTAATATAATATATTAACAGAAATAACCCCCCCCCGAGATAATATATAAAAAATTGAAGAAGATATATTATTAACTTTTAATAACGTAGCAATTGCTTTATCATAAAGAGATTTTCGCCAACCGCTGCTCATTAACATGTATTGATAATATTTTCCAATTAAAATTACGAAACCGTCGCGTCATTTAAAGTGACTTAGGACCATTTAGATATTTGTTATCATGAGGAGCATTCGCGATGTTACGAAATGGTCGCGCAGAATTTCCGCGCAGCCAGTTCCTAACTACTTATTCATGAATTATTCTCCTAAGTACGCTATAAAAACACATTTTATGATCTCACAAAGCGAAACCTGGGGTAGAAGAATGTATCAGCTGATAAGTAGCTTCAATCATTAAATAATTTTACGATAAAAAAAGATACTGTCATTCTATTTTTTAATTTTCAGATATTTGCAATATTTCGATTTTAAAATTAAACTAACTTTATTGAGATTTTTTCATGACTAGTTTATTAATTGATTACACATTCTCGAAAAAGTTTAATACTAAATTATATCAAAACTTGATTGATTTCTAATTAAAAATCGAAAAAGTTTACATTTTTATTGTAAAGAGTGATTTGATTATTTATCCGATAACGTTATTTATTATTAATTAAATTGTGTTGAAAAGGGAAACGGTTTTTGGAAGAATTCGCCAAATAAAGAAATATTGCGACAAGCTTAATAGACACATTAACGGCATTCGACACTTGATTGAAAGAATCGATTGCAGAACGTTTAAACATATTCACATAAAAATTCACGAATTACCTTATATCCGGCGAGATCTTGAACAACGCAGGACAGGATGGCTTCTCTTCCCACTGGTGCAGTTACATTGGTTATTGGCTCCTTAAAGTTAGGATCTAAAAAATAAAATAAAATTATGTTTTAGATAAATGCGATTATATAACGTGATATAATTAGATACTTCATTCATCTTTGTAATAAGTATTCAAATAAAATCATAAAAATTTTTAAGAATTCTCTTGTCGGTATATATGCGTTATTGACTTATTATAAACACTGACTGTACACCGCATAATACATACACACTTTTAAATATTATTTACTGTATATATTTTTGATTAGTGATACAATTTTACAAAAATAACAATTCAATTTAACTTATTTATTTCCAACTAAGAGTAAAAATAAAGAGAAGTAATTAAATTTATTCCATCTCAACTTTCCACTTAGATTTGACTAATTTATACATTTAAAATAAGTACGAATTAATTCCTAGAATTTGTTCAGTTGTTTGACAGTTTAACAAAAAAATCCAGATTAAATAGTGTTGTCTAATTTATTGACAGAACAAATATTTATAGCATTTCATAACGTTTTATTAATAAATTTTTACATATATAGCTTCTATTAAATAAATAAATAAATTAAATTTCATTATTTTATCTTTCCAGATTTTATATATATAATAAAATATTCTTTTATACCCTTATAAAAACATTTCATTAAATTTAATGTATCTTTAAGTGAGAGTCGACCTAATTTTTTAACGTTCTTTAACGTCCACTATTATTGGTGTGTGTGAAGCTAGCATATCATTTCGTGGAAGATCATAAATAATTAAGTGTTCTGGCTTTATTTTCAATAGTTCTAGAGTTCTTGATAGTTTAAACAAATAGTTCTGGCGATTAAACCAAAGAAAATGCCTCAGGACAAACTGATATGCCAACTTCACGCAGCATATCACTTTGTCCTACGACGTTTTCCTTATCAATAATTGTTCAAATTTAAAAGATCTATAGTTCTATATGAGTTCTAAGAAGAGTTCTGCCTTCTAAAAGTAAAAAATATCCATTAAAATGAAATAAAACAATTTTTTATCCGTAAAACTCGTATTTTCGAGACTAGAGGTGATATGCTGGCCGAATTTCGAGAGTTCTGATTATTATAAAATAGTTCTCGTGTAGTTCTGGGCATGTACATTGCTTTTCCAAAGAGTTCTGATGAAAGAAATAATTAGAAAATTTTTTAAACAATTATTTTACCCGAAAAACTCGTATTTTCGAGTATAGAGGTGATATGCTGGCCGTATTTAAAGCCAGAACTCTTAATTATTTATGATCTTCCACGAAATGATATGCTAGCTTCACACACACCTATTATTGACATAGAAAATACATCTCCAAATGTATCTAGCGTGAAGACGTTAATACCATATGGGAGATGCAAAAAAATTACATAAAATAGCAATATAAAATATGGTATAGGGAGAGGCAAAGGGCACCGAGAGGAGAAAAATGGCCACCAACATAGCGTCAAAGATAAATGCATGTTTGGATTGCCCGTTGCAGATTTATCCCCTAGCAATCTAATGCAATATTATTGGATGCACTCGATGTAGCACAATGCGATTATTTCGTACGCCCTAGGCGCACCAATAAAGTGCGAGCATCAAAATGCATATCATATTATGAGTACTTCATGTGTAGACATGGAATAAGGAAGACGGAAATCGTGTTTGCACAGGAAACGAGCAATGATCGTTGCAATGGCGGATGAATGTAGTTTGAAATGCAAGTTAGTCGTAGGTAATTTGGTAACTTCGGCACTATACACGGACCTTGCAAGGACATTGACCAACTCCTATCGACCATTTGTAATATCGAAACTGAAATATGTACAATAGAATATAATTCATCCGCGTGCAGCGCTTTTATGGCAAAAAAGTTCTACATTTCATAAATTGAAATTACAAATTTTGAGCTCTCTGACGGTATATCAATAAAAATTTTCGTGGCGCGAAATTAATACACGAAATAAAATTGAATTGCAAATTGTATGAAGTACAAATTGATTTTTATTTGAATCGACAAGTTCTTTTTTTTTTGTTTTATCCTCGTTATTGAAGTGAAATAAATTGGTTAAATTGAATATAAATATATGTGTAATCGTAAAAAAGAGAGTCGAATTAAATTTGCCGCGTTGATATCTTTACAAAACATAAAATGTGCAGTACAGAGGAAAAGCATACAGCGCGCCTATAAAGAGGTACAATCGGCGCGTACGTACTCAATTAAAACATATATGGCAAAGTATATGTATCCTCCAATATGTACAATATGTATCATCGCTTTCCCGATAACAGGATTGTAAATAAAATACAAGCCACCCTGCGCTGCCACAAAAGCGTCATCTGTTTCTCCATTAACGGTAACACGTAAACGTCAACATCGATCAACACGGCCAAGGATATTCCCGGCGCCGGTATATTGCTGGTATATCGCCGATACGAAATTATTCCGGCGACTGCATTACGATATTGTCCATCAAATCTCGCCCGAGTCAACACGACAGACGCACACACAACGCGCCCAAGTCTCTTCACGTGAGCGAGCGAGACCCATTAAAAGGTCAACATCGATCAAGAGCCAAAAATGCCTCACGGAGATTGTTTGCGAGGGATGTAAGCCGAACGAGGGCGTGGTGCGTGAGCGGGAGGAATGGGAGAAACCAGCGAGAGAACATAACCGTGGATGGGTCCGTAATGGGAGCATAAGGGAACCATAATTCCGTCGACGGCCCGCGGGCCGTCTGGTGGCCCTCGCGGGAAATCGCGGCCGTATTAAGACTCTCTCTTCGGCGAGCTTTGATGGATCGAAGTTGCCCGAAAATGGCCGGCCCCGAAATCCAGAGTGTTCCGACGAAATTGGCGAGAAGAGAGCAAACGCACATTTTTCCAGCGGACAATGAGCGTGGAATGACCCATGAATGACGGATAAGCTCTTACCACCATGTATACGTATTTTCGATACTCTCGTTCGCAAAAGAGACTAGAAACATTTATCCAAATCTCGCGTTTCACATGATTAACTGAATGAAACTATAAAAGGATCGCGAAAGAGAACCATATCGAAATTAACGAAGTAAATATCACAGGCGGATTAATTTCTTGAAGATACAGATATATCGTCGTATTTTATTCAACAACTCGCTTTTTAATCAGAAAGCTCTCGACTAAGCGCAGTAATTAATAGCCAAATATATATAGAAAACATTATTTTATATATCGTCCTATAAACGACGATGAAGATGCGATATATTTATTCTTTCGTGCTAGAATTCGCAATGTGATAAATAATTAGTCCCTTACTGATGATGTCTATCGGGAAAACTTGGTTTTATCTCATAGCACTTAATTCGTTACGATGTGCGCTATGATAATCGGGTTTGCCATTTACAACTTCCATCACATTTGCATTGCAAATCTCAACGATAACGTTTATGATAATGATGTGTAATAAACATTATGAACGTAAATTGTAAATTTTATCAACAGTTAACGGCATCTTCCAATTAGTCTGGAACCAAGACAAAAATGCATCCCCGACATCGACAATTCAGAAGTAATGTGGGCCTGCATTTTTCACAGCCTTACCCGCCGCGCTTCCCGGCATATTGTCGCCCGACATGGCATTTTAAGTTATAGCCGACGAAGCGTATGTAAGTAATGCAATAGTCGACCATTTCGAAAAAAGCGAGCAAGAAAAGGTAAGCACGCGAGAGTTGGGATACGAGAGGGTTGGAGGGCGATAAAAAAATATCACGAGCGTTCGTCGATGCACATCGTCACTAATGCACTTTATGGGCGAACGTCAAAATATCAACGTACGGATTTCGAGCACGAAAACCGACTGTGCCTAAAAAAAAAAAAAATTTATAGTTGCCACGACATTTATGATGCGAAATAAGTGTTCGTTTATAATCTCACTTGTGTGTGTGTATATACAATCACGGCGCATAATTCGAGAAAAATATATGTATAAGCAGTGTGCCATTATAAGAAGGATACATATATTCTCGATACACACACATATACACACGTGTGTGTGGCATAAAAGTGATTACTATGATTAGTGAGAAAATACGTTGTACGCTTTAAAAGTTAGAGGTAAAGATAAAGGGTAAAGGGTGAAACTATGTTATAAATAAAGTGACATTAACATTCTTATAATCAATCTTTAAAATAAAATGTTCACACTAGTGTTACCATATCAGTGATATACCATCCATAAATAGACTGGCATCAGTAATATCCCATCCATAAATAAATCAAGAACCCGTCATTGCTATCACCCGTTAAGAACCCGCATAGCTGAGAGCCAGTGAACCGTGTTAAAATACCCCGCAACGCGGCATTTCTCACCTCGACGACCGTGCTTTCCTCGATTTTCGTCGCTTCGGCTTCCGAATGGAAGCGAGGTCAGACGGAAGAACATGAGAGACGAAAGGTCGTAGTTCTCCCCGTGAGAGAGGAGAACTTCGGATGCGTCTATTCGCGTGTTGCCGGAAGATTATTTTCACGAATGCGGGTTAGAAATCATTCGCGTGGTATATACAGTTTTCCCGAAATAATAAGAATTTCGTCTGCTTAAGGCCGACAAATGTTTACGCCCCCTATTTATGACGACGGCGTATCTTCTCTCGGATGCTTATGCCAGCCGCTGGCAAATACGCATCGCGAAATCCCCAAAGCGCGTGGCAAAGTACTTTATATACATGCGCGGCTTTTCTTCTCGCCCTTTCGCGCTTGTTTGCTTCCGATTCTCGGATTCTGGAGCTCGTCTCTTTTGCGACTTTATTCGCATATAGTCCCGTGCCGATCTCAACTCTCATTATCTGCCACGTTGCGGCTTATTTGAATTGATTCGTTCTATTTTGCCACTTTTTGCATTCACCCCGTATGCCTGTGCTCTTTGAGAGAGATTCCGGTTCATTGCCCATTATTCGAAAATAGTAAAGTGCCGTCAATATTGAGAATTGTTTGGCTTTCATCTATCTGCTAGCGGATTCGATTATTCGTAAAATCATATTAACGTTTGTTTTCTCGTTATCCTTGTGA